GGATGCCAAAGAAACCCAATGGGTATTTAAAAATAAATCGTTTCAAATGTTCTCACCACAAAAAAAAATAAAAATATTTGAGGTGAGATACAGATATATAGATGCTAATTAGCCTTTTTTGATCATTCTACAATGTATACATGCAATGAAACATTACATTATACCATATCAATATAGAAAGTAACCATTTCTTTCTTTTTTTTTCTTTTTTTTTTTTTTTGAGATTGAGTCTTGCTCTGTCACCCAAGCTGGAGTGCAGTGATGTGATCTTGGCTCACTGTAACCTCCTGAGTTCAAGCAATTCTCCTGCCTTAGCCTCTTGAGTAGCTGGAATTACAAGTGTACACCACCATGCCTGGCTGATTTTTCTATTTTTAGTAAAGATGGGGTTTTACCATGTTGGCCATGCTGGTCTCAAACTCTTGATTTCAAGTGATCTGCCCATATTAGCCTCCCAAGTGCTAGGATTACAGGCAGGAGCCGCTATCCGGCCAGAAAATAACTATTTTTAGCAAACCAAATCCAGCAGCATATCAAAAAACTAATCCACCACAATCAAGTAGGTGTTATTCCTGTGATGCAAGATTGGTTTGGCATATACAAATCAATCAATGTTATTCATCACATAAACAGAACTAAAGACAAAAAAACATATAATCATCTCAATAGACGCAGAAAAGACTTTTGGTAAAATTCAACATCTCTTCATGTTAAAAAATCCCAACAAACTAGGTATCAGAGGAATATACATCTAAATAATAAGAGCCATTTATAATAAACCACAGCCATTATCATACTGAATAGGCAAAAGCTAGAAGCATTCTTCTTGAAAACTGGCACGGTTAAGGTTGGGCTTCTCTTACCACTCCTATTTAACATAGTATTTGAATTCCTAGCCACAGCAATCAAGCAATCAAAAATAAATAAATAAATAAATAAATGGCATCCAAATAGGAAAAGAGGAGGCCAAACTATTCCTGTTTACAAATGACATGATTCTTTATCTAGAAAATCCCACAGTCTCAGCCTCAAGTCTACTTACACTAATAAACAACTTCAGGAAATTTTAGGATACAAAATCAATGTACAAAAATCACTAGTACTCTTAACACCAAAAACAGTCAAGCTGGGAGCCAAATCAGGAATGCAGTGTCATTCACAACAGTCACAAAATGAATGAAATACTTAAGAAATGCCACTAAACAGGGAGATGCAAGATCTGTGCACTGAGAATTACAAAACGCTGCTTAAAGAAGGCAGAGATGACATAAACAAATAGAAAAAGATTGTATGATCATAGATAGGACGAATCAATATTGTTAAAATGACTATGCTGCCCAAAGCAATTTACAGATAAAATGCCATTCCTATCAAACCACCAATAGCATTCTTCACAGAACAAGGAAACATTGTTAAATTTTATATGGAATGAAAAAAAGAACCTGAATAGCCAAGGCAATCCTAAACAAAAAGAATAAAGCAAGAGGCATCAAGCTACCTGACTTCAAACTATACTATAGGTCTAAGATAACCAAAATGGCATGGTACTAGTATAAAAATAGACACACAGGTCTGCAATCATCTGATCTTTGACAAAGCTGACAAAAACAAGCAATGGGGAAAGGACACCCTATTCAAAAAATGGTTCTGGAATAAATGGCTTGCCATATGTAGAAGATTGAAACTGGATCCTTCCTTATACCATTTATAAAAATCAACACAAAATGGATTAAAAACTTAAACGTAAAACCCAAACTATAAAAACCTTGGAAGACAACATACGTAATACCATTCTGGACATAGGAACTGGTAAAGGTTTCATGATGAAGATGCCAAAAGCAATTGCAACAAGGGTGAAAATTAACAAATGGGATCTAATTAAAGAGCTTCTGCATAACAAAAGAAACTAGTAACAGAGTAAACAGAAAACCTACAAAATCGGAAAAATATTTGCAAACTATGCATCTGACAATAGTTTAATATCCAGCATCTGTAAGTAACCTAAACAAATTTACAAGAAAAAAAAACCACAAACAACCCCATTGAAAAGATGGCAAAAGATATGAACAGACACTTTTCAAAAGAAGATAAAATGCAGTTAGCGGCATATTTTTTAAAAGCCCAATATTACTGATTATTAGATAAATTCAAATCCAAACCACAATGAGATACCATCTTGTACCAGTCAGGATGATTAGCATTAAAAAGAAAAAATAATAGATGCTGGCAAGTTCTCAGAGAAAAGGGAGCATTTATACATTGTTGGTCGGAGTGTAAATTAGTTCAACCACTGTGGAATGTAGTGTGATGATCCCTCAAAGAGCTGAAAACAGAACCACCATTTGACCCAGCAATCCCATTACTGGCTATATAACCAAAGGAACATACATCATTCTATCATAAAGACACATGCATGTGTATGTTCATTGCAGCACATTACTGACAATAGCAAAGGCATGGAATCAACCTAAATGGCCATAAATGGTAGACTAAGTTTTTAAAAATATGGTGCATATTTTAAAAAACCATGGAATACTATGCAGCCATGGAAAAGAATTAGATCATGTCCTTTGCATGAACATGAATGGAGCTGGAGGCCATTGTCCTTAGCAAACTAACACAGGAACAGAAAACCGAGTCCTCATATTCTCACTTATAAGTGGGAGCTAAATGATGAGAACACCATGGACACAAGGAGGGGAACAACAACACTGAGGCTTACCTGGGGGCAGAGGGTGGGAGGAGGGAGAGGATCAGAAAAAATAATGATTGGGTACTAGTAATAGGCTTAGTACCAGGGTGATGAAATACAAACCCTCAAGACATAACTTTGTTTATCTGTTAAACAAACCTGCACATGTGTCACTGAACCTAAAATAAAAATTTCTTAATAAAGAAAATAACTATTTGCCAATTAAAAATAATATAAATATAGAAGATAACTATTTTCCAATTAATAATGACACAAAAAAGAAACAATAGGGAAAGATAATATTTTCCGTAAATGTTGTTGGGAAAACAGTATGTCCACAGGCAGAAGAATTAAATCCGATCCTTACTTCACGTCATATATAAAAAAGCAACAAAAAATGAATTAAAGATATAAATGTAAGGCCGTAAGGCACAAAAGTGTAAGACATACAAAGCTTCTTGATGTTGATCTAGGCAATATGTTTGGATATGGTTCTAAAAGCACAGGCAATAAAAGCAAAAATAGAAAAATGAGATTGTATTAAAAAGTTTTTGCATTACTGTGAAACAATCAACAAAGTGGGAAAGCAACCTACAGAATTGTGTAAAATATTTATTGTTATCCAAAGTATCTAAGAAACTGAAACAACTCAATGGTTAAAAAACAGACAAACAAACAAAACAACCAAAAAACAAAAAAAAAATTGCCATTACAAATAATGAGCAAAATACATGAACAGACCTAAATACATTTATCAAACAAAGGCAGGTAAATAACAAAACAGTATATGAAAGAATGCTCAACATGACCACTCTCAGGGACATACAATCAAAACCACAATAAAAGATCATTTCACACCTCTTAGAATGCCTACTATCAAAAAAGTAGAAGATAACAAGTGCTGACAAGATTGTGAAGAAAAAGAAAACCTTGCACATTGTTGGTAGAAATGTAAATTTTTACAGACATTATGGAAAACAATACGAAGTTTCTTCAACAATGACCTTATGATCTAGCAATTAGACATTTGGGTACATATGCAAAGGAAATGAAATCAGTATGTTGAAGAGATATCTGCACTCCATGTTTACTGCAGCATTATTCACAATAGCTAATACATGGAAACAAATGTACACCAACAGATGAGGGGATAAAGAAAATCTGGTATATACCAAGAGATAGATCTATCTGTCTGTCTAAGAAGATGTATAGGTAAATACAGGTACACAAACAGAGAGATACAATAGAATACTATTCAGCCTTTTAAATGACGAAAATCCTGCCATTTGTGACAACATCAAAGAACTTGGAGAACATCATGTTAAGTGGAATAAGCCAAATGCAGAAACACAGAAACTGCACGATTTATTTGTGTAATATAAAAATGTCAAGCTCATAGGAATAGAGAATATAATGGTGCTTACCAGGAGTTATGGCGAGGAAGTTACATAAGATAAATAAGTTTGGAAGATCTAATGTACAACCATGTGACTATAGTTAACAATACTGTATCATTAAAAACTGCTAAGAAAGTAGATCTTAAGTGTTCCCCCACCACATACAAATAGTTATGTGAAGTTAAGAATATATTAATTAGCTTGGTTGTTGGGAATATTTTATAGTATATACATATATCAAGTATGATGTTCTTTGTCTTAGGATGAGTTTGCACCTTAATTAACCAACTGTGAGTCAAAAATATTGTAAGCTGAGAATGCATTTAATACTTCAATAAACCCACAGTGAAGTTGAAAAATCTTAAATTGAACCATTGCAAGTTAGGGACTATCTGTACCTTCAATATATATATAATTTTAAATTGTCAACTATACCTTAATAAAGTTGTATTGTGGGGGAGAAGCTGATATTAAAGAAGGAAACAGTAAGAATAAGGTTATGTGTACAAAGAATTTAATTTGTTTTTCCAATTTTTGTTCTCAACACTAGTACAAACAATAAAAATAACAAAAAGAGAATAGGAAATTCATTCTCATCCTTCATGACACAACGCAGTCTCTTCCTAAATTGTAAAGGCTTTTGAGATGACCCTAGATAGATATAGGAATTCTCTTTCCCATAACTTTTCTGACTTTTATACATACCCACTTCCTTGATTGCTCTTTATCATATTGGGCCATGACTATCTCTCCTAGAATTCTGCAAGAGCCCTGAGTAAAAATTGTGCCATTTTTCCTTGAATGTTTAAAACTTAGTGCCATATCTAGCATGAAGCAAAAACTCAATAAATGTTAGTTGAAAAAAATAAATAAAATGCAAGATTTACTCAATAATTGCTGCTGATATTTACCTGATTTGTAGAGATAGCTTGATCTCTTGGTTGCTTTTCCATTACGATTAGCATTTGTCTCCTTCTACATAATTCACAAAAACAAAACAAATAGATCCATAAAAGAAATTTTAGTATTCAAACATCAACTATTATTTCTATATTTATAGTACAGAAATTTAAGATTTTAAAAATTTATCATTAATGTCAATTTATAAGAAATGTACGTTTTATTATGTTTACATTACATGTATTATTTATAGAATTCCAAGTTCACAGTTGTATCAAAAGTTGTACTTAAAACTACCTACACATTTGGTGATTTGCTAAGACTTTGGGATTCAGCATATATTTGCACTCCCATCTAACACATCTAAGATTTAATATGGATAGCAATGTCAGATACTGCACATATTACCCCAAAAAGGTCAGTAATAAAATTTAGACACTGTTTTTAAAGGAGATTTTTTTTTAAGTTAAGGCCATAGCCTTTATAATATGTTGGCCAATATGACATCAAATGTCAAATCTGTTAAAAATTTTTCTTTTTTTGACTCTTAGTATATTTAATGTGGCAATTGATACAGTAGAACAGTGAACTAAGCCCAATGTACATTTGTCAAATGTTCATTCTAAAACTGCACTATAGAAAAGCAATTGTGGTAAATATACTACATTTAGGAGTTACACATAATTTACTGCCTCAATTATTATACATTATAGGACATGGAAAATGATGGCACTTTTGACCTTAGTCATGAAGAATTCTTTTGGAAACGATTTAATAAATTTCTAGTTTACTGAAATCTATTTCAAACCACATTAACTCCCTAGGACAGTTGAGCTGGTTAATACTATATTAATAATGAAACCAACGATGCATATTTGATTCCTATAATAAGTTAGCAGCCGATAGAGAAAATCTATTTCATGTCCAAAAGTTATACCCTGAATCTGCGCTGATATCTTTTCAACAGCAAGTAACTAATCACTGGTCAAAAACTACTAAATCAGTACTAGTACAAGCCCAATCAAAAAAGCTCAACTTTATACTTCCTCTAAAAGTTGCAGATACATACCGTGAACTAACATCTTGTATCTTACATTTAAAGACTGTTGTAGGGGCTATTAAAATGTTATTATGATACGACTAACTTCAGAGAATAAAGTTTTTTTGTTTGATTACATAAATAATGCATTTTTGTATACCAATATGATCATAAGATTGTATCCCTTTTATTGTGTTTGTATTTGGAGTAAAAGAACTCTTACATACCTCTTCTTTTGAAGGATCAAAAAATGCCTGTGGAAGTCTGGATAAATTTCTTGTGGGTGATGCCTGAGCTGAAATAATTGAACCTTGGCCTGAAATGTTAGTATCTCCTAGAAAAAGAAAAGATAACTTTAAATATGAGAAGTTGATATTGCTGAGACAACGGTTAATATTAGTTTACAGCATTACTTCAACATTCTCCCTGCTCAGCTGCCACAGTGACTAGAGTTGCCACAATCAGGGATTTATCTGAGTCAAGGAAATATCTCGAAAATAACATGACTTTTTTGATGTTTACTGCCTACGAGTTTCCAATGGCTCCCATTGCCTTCAAAAACAAGTCTGAAATCCTAATTTATTTAATGTTTTTATGCCAGCTTAATCTTTTGCTGTAACCACAGCCCACTGCTATAACTAAATATTTGCATTTCATTAAGTAGGCAATGAAAAACTATTTGAATAGTGTAATAAACAAAGCCGTGTTTTAGGAATATTGTTTACATAAACAAATGTATAGTGAGTAAAACAGAGGAAGAAGGAATTGGAGGAAGGGTACTGCAATAGAGAATGGAGAAAAACAACGGTAGAAGCAATGAGAATGGAAAAGAGTGAAGTTCAAGATAAATCAAGAAAGAAGATTAGACAGAAAGTGTGAACTTTCAGATGTAAAACTTAGGAGAAAGAGTCCAAGACAACTCAGGTTTTGTGCCTGGGTGAAAATAAAAGGGTCAGGAAGATGATGAATTTAGTTTTGTGTTAAATTTGAGGTGATCTTTAGCTACTGGAAGAAGATCTCTCGTATTTTCTGTATGCATATGTCAGACATGCATGTGAGTATATTTAGTGACTTGCATTAACACAACAAGGCACACAAATCTTGGGTAATGCATATTTCATTTAAAGAGAAATGGGAAACAATGTACCATTTGTTGAAATATGGAAACAATCTTGGTTATAATTCTCTGTATTCCAATCTGCTGGAGCCAATATGTTAGCATCTTTATCTATAACTACAAACAGCCACAGCAAGACCCTATCTTTTCCACTCTTTGCAAATTTTGAAAGGACAGTCATCCAGCAATCACTAAAATATATAGGTTAATTATAATATCTATAGTCATAGAAAATTATATCCTTTTTTTTAAAAAAAGCATATTTTTATAATCAGATAAAACTAAAATATGTAACTATAATTGTATACTTAATAACAGAAAAATTATGAATATTGTCCATTTTCTTACCTCTATCATCGACAATACTTGAGTTTTTAGATATCATCCCATCTCTCTACATGGTGTCACATTAAAGAAAAAAATACATTAGTAACTGTGCTTCCAAAAGAGGTTCTGCTTTCTATCAATTAACCAATGAATACAGATGTTTTTCTTCTTTTATCCTGTAACTCATAAAAACTGTTTAGGTATTATATTATTATTATAATATTATAATAATATTATATTATTAACCTCCTTTCCATATAATCTCAAATTTAACTAGTTAAAAACTGAGTTCAGTATGTAGCAATGTATAAACTTACTTCTCCAGTCTTCCCTATTTTGCCTAAAGGCATGGTAATACACACATGCTATGGTTAGTTCTAAAAAGTTTAGACTCATTCAGTTGGTCTCAGAGAAATCCAATCTAATCCATTCATACCCAGTCAAAACCAGTGCAATCCTTATTGAAAACACTGTTTAGAACCAAAGTAAAATTCATCATTCCAGGATCATTTTATTGGAATAATATTTTTCTGTGTCTGTCGCCTCAACAGACAATGAGTTTTCTAGAGAAAGCAATTATGTATTATTCTACTTTTTATCTTATATTATCCAATTTCCTTGTTGTCCATTATTCTAGCTTAGTACAACACCTGGTCAATAGTATATGCTCAATAAACACAAGCTATCATTATTATTATTACTGCCAAATGTTTGTTTGGCTTATTTTCTGCTAAAATTCATAGTGCACCTGGCACAAAGCTAACACAATACTTTCTCTGCCAGGAAAATGGATCAGGTTTCATGAATAAAAATTTCCCTGACCAATCAGTACTATGCTGCTGAAGGGGAGAGCTCATGGAAATAAGTTAAGTAGATAAATTAATAAATACAACACCAAACTTTAAAGCATAATTTTGTACCTTTTGATTTATACCATTATACTGTACATTTGTCTGAACAACAGAAGTTGAGTTTTTTTTCATAAAATTCTCTGAACTATTTTGATTCTGATGAGCAGCAGTTGCTGTATTTCCTAAAAGTAAATAAAACAGAGAGAAACTCTAGTATTTTTTTTTAACAGCTTTAGGAATCTACAATAAAAGTACAATAAATTGTACCTATTTAATTATATAGTTGATTTTAAAATATGAATCAAACTGTGAAACCAACACCATAGACAAGATAACATTTCTATTAACCCCTGAAGTTTTCTCATGCAACTTTGTTTTCTATCTATTCTCATAATCCAACAGCACTGATCTGTACCTCTAACTCACGATTAGTTTGCGCTTTCTAGAATTTCATATTTCCCTGGCTTCTTTCACTCATCACAACATTGTCACATATATCAAAGGTATATTTTTTATTTTTTATTTCTGAGAAGAATTCTATTGTGTGGCTATTTCATAATTTTGTATATACTTATCTATTTATGGACATTTTGATTGTTTCCAGTTTTTATAAATAAATAAAATATTTATCTATTTTGTTTATATTATAAATAAATATAATTTTTATTTTACTATAAGTAAAAATTGATAAATAAAAATTTCTATAAACTTTCATGTACAGGTGCTATGTGGACACATGTTTTCTTCGTTTTTTATTGGGTAAATATCTAGTAGTGAATGAATGGGTTACATGGTAGGTTTAACTTAAAAATTAAAATGCCAAACCAGTTTATCAATGTGGTTGTACCATTTTACATAACAATCAGCAGTGCATCAAGGTTGCAGTTCTTCCACATCCTTGCCAACACTTAGTAAGCAGAAGAAAAATAAAGATCAAAGTAAAAATTTTAAAAAAGTAAAAAGAGAGAAAAAGAATGAAAAGAAAAACTGGCTCCTTAAGATGTTCAGTAAATAATAAGCCAAAAACAAATAAGGTCACAAATCAGTAAAATAGAATCTACAGATAATTATTAAATGAAATAATAAGGAAATACATGAAAAATGTTTGCCAATAAATTTAAAAATATATACAAGAAACAAATTCCCTGAAAAATCCAAATGACCACATTTTGTCACAAAGAAATAGATAATATGAAGAGCCCTGTAGCAAAGAAATTAAGTAGGAAGTTTAAACTTTTCCACAAAAAAGCTACAGACTCAAGACACTTCACCTCTGAATTGTGCTAACTATATAAGCATATTTAGCTTACATATGCTAATTCTACACAACTCTTCCAAAAATTAAAGAGTGAACATTTCCTATCTCATACTTTTACATCAGAATCACTTTGATATAAAATATCATTATAGATATTACAATAAATTTAAAAATTTTCAATTCCCCCATGAACAAATATGCAAGAATAAACAAATTATAAATATTATGTATAATATGTAATATACTGACAATTACATAAATATAGTAATCATAATATAATTAAAAATAATATAATAAATATAGTATCCTAATGCATATGTATCACATTTTCTTATGTTTTGGAACAATATTAAGAGGTACACAATCACCATTGCTGTTCAACAATGTACTGAAGGTCCTAGACAGAAATAAATGAAAAGTGAATCCCAACTAAATAGCAGCAAGCTATTTTGTAGAAATTGCTAAGTTTTAAAAATTTGTATAGAAAGCAAAGCCTCTAGAATAACAAAGTCAACCTGGCATAAAAACAAATGTTGGATAACTTAACCACTGAATTTTGAAACGTATTTTAAAGCCACAATAATAAAGAAAATGAGGTATTTGCATAAACACAGATAAATGCATCAATCTGTGATAACTTTATATTTTCAAAGTTGTCAAAGTAACTAGATTTGTACAACATAAGTTAGAATCCTCCTGTTTCCCCAGATAGCAAGAAGTGCTATCAACCACCACTAGGATCATGGCAGAAATACCACTAGCGCTATAATGAAGGAGCTTCCATCGGCCAGAAGTGTTACAACATGAAGACAATGAGAAGACCTTAACGATGGTCCACTTTTACTTAATAAATAGTAAATACATTTTCTCTTCCTTATGACTTTCTCAATTTAATAACATTTTTTCTTTAGTTTACTTTATTGGAAGATTATAGTATATAATATATATAACATACATAATGTGTTACTCCACAGTTTATCTTATCAGTAAGGTCAAAGGTGAGCTGTTAGTAGGTTTCTGGGCAGCCAAAAGTTAAATGTAAATTTTTTACTGTGCAGGAGGTCAGTGCTCCAACTCTCAGCCCTTAATGTTCAAATAACAACTGTACTTCTGGTTGTTCTATACATAATCACCAAAACATGGAAACAACGCCAAATTTCAAATTTCTTTCAGTTCAAGAATGAATAAACAAACTCTGATGGATCCATGCAATGGAAAGGAACAAACTATTGACACATGCAATAACTTGGATGAATTTCAGGGGTATTATGCTGAGTAAAAGAAGCTGTTTTCATGAAGTCAAATAATGTATGATTCCATTCACATAACATTCTCCAACAGAAAAATAACCATATCCATGAGAACATACCACTATTTGATAATAATCCCAGAGGCAACATAACTAATAATCCCAGAGGTAATTTGGGATTATTAGTTGGGAGAAGGAGGGTGTGACTGCAAATAGGATGAGGGAGATTTTTAGAATACTGGACTGTTCTACATGTGATTGTGATAGAGGTTACACAAATCTATACATGTGATTGTACATGTAATTGTACAAAATATTCCATTTTGCTTTAGGATGATTTAAAAAAACAAAATAAATGCCTTGAGATATTTTCTGAGAATGAAATAATACAGAGACAAGATAAGGAGCTGGAGCAGGAAATTGACTTTGAACTCTGCCTGGAGAATCGCCAGCTGCAAAACTGTGTGGGGCAAATTTCTTATAAGAGTATAGAGGATGTGACACTGTTCTGAGTTCATACTCATGACGCTATGATGTAATGGAAACCAGAAAGACCTGATTATGGTGCATGGGAAAGAGGGGCACCTCTAAAAACATATGACTTGTGATGTCACTATTGCATATTTCTGAAATTCACAAGAAGACCACAATGACACATATACCCTTCACTGAGACTGGAGAGTAGCTATACTGCTCACACCCAAGGCTGATATGAACCACATTACTTTACATTTCATCTTTCAGTAGGATATTTCTCCCAACCATGCTTAATTAAATTTATGGGTCTGTTCTCCAGACAACTGTCACAATAAACTGGTATCACAGTAGGGCTAAAAACAGTATTTTCCATTGACCATCCTTTCCTGAAATGTCACTGAAATTCTTTGACAACAGGAAGATCAGACTGGGATGCATTAAACACCAGATTTTTACAGGATCAGTTTGCTTGAGATAACTGCTTTAGAAATTGGTAATTTAGTTTTATTGCCTACATTTAGTGTAAGATGTAGAGCTGGTATTGCCATAAATTTGCCAGTTATAAATAACCTTTTGGTATGTTGTAGAAACTGAACTTTAAAAAGGGAACCTATGAATTTTGGAGTTAAATTAACTGAACCTCAGTGATTCTGAGGCAGGAAGATATCTGTGGTTAAGGCAACTCTATCTCTCCCAACATTTCCGATTCTTAAAGAGACTAAGCAAATTGCATACTTGGGAAAAAAGATTTTAAACAGTATTTCCTTTATTTTTTAACCAATAAGGACAAGAAATTTAACATTTCCTTTATTTTTTAACCAATAAGGACAAGAAATTTAATTTTTTCTTTGAAATTTAATAATGGGAGATAAGTTATACTGTTCAACTTTTGAACAGTCTACTTTGATAATACTGTTTGAGGATTTTTATACTGTAACTTGGGCTTATGGTCTTTTAGTGAGTTCTAATGAACAACATGAAGAGACACAGCTTAAGTTAAAATAATAAAGTGATGTTTTAGTAAGGGCCATCGGGAATCTGGAGTTAATGTACTTAATTTCTAACACATTTCAGAGTTTTCTGAAATTATTTTAAGCAGAAAGTTTTTTACAAGTTGTTATACATGCTATATTATATATTTAATCATAATAGAACCTTCCTTTAGTTTTCTAAAATAATAATATAATGTCAGGTTCAAAACAATAGATCAATTATCTATTTATCAAATTCTAAAAGCAATAAAGGCCACATAGCTGTTGATAAGCATCACCCAAAATCAGTCATTTGACAAAAGAAAACAGAGGATTTATCTATATTGAAGTGAAAGAAGCTGTTACAAAACTGTCTTTCCCCAAATTATTGTTTAGTATCTCATGTTTCGTGTCACAATATTCAATTACCAGATATTTCTTCATATGTATTCTGGTCTCCAGCAGGATAAACTAATATGATATCTTCAGAAGTCTTCCTTTTATTCTTTGGAGAAGCTTAAAGAAATATAATAAAACATTTATTTTTAATAATGATGACAGAATTACCCAAGATAGACTACTTATCCTTTTATGCCCAAGAAGACCTGAACTCTGTGCTAATCTGTATGTGGGATTGTGAGAGAAATTGGAGAAGATTGAGAGATGTGAAATGGGAGGAAAGACAATTCTTGAAATATTATCCCTTCATATTAAAAGATATCCTTGGAGGGATAGAATTTTTTTTTTTTGGCAGAAAGGGAAATCTGCACCTGGGCTCAACTGAAACATGTCATTTTCCATCTGGGTGCATACCAACATGTGATTGGGCTGAAGACTTAGCAGTTCGCTGTGACTTAAGTAATTCTTGGATATGCCTTGATGCCTGACAGAGCAAATAAACATGTATATTCCCTTCTTTGTGATAAAGACAATTACAATTTTGCTTTTCTAACTATTAAAGTGGCAGAAGGTCCTTACTGCATGTGTGTTCAGGGGCTGTTATGAGAGATGTTAAATGTAAGAGTGATCTGTTTCCACATTCACTGATCACTGAGCAGTTTCTTCTGATATTTTCTTTCTTTTACTTTCTTGGTTCCACTGAAAGTTGTCTATTTGTTGGAAGGTAACAACATTACTATAATAGTATAATTTAATTTAATTTATGCCATGGGTATTCTTTCTATTCTGTCACTTTGATAATATAAACTAAACTCACTTATATACTACTTCTTCTTCAACAACAGTGTATTTAAATAACAAATGTTTAAACTATTTTAAATTCTTCCTACTATATGAGAAAGTTAATGAAGATGTAGTAAATTGTAGTTACTAAAGTGGTTTCATATCTGAGGCATGATTGCAGTCATTGCCCCAATGAAGTAAATAGATTTAGTTAATCCATTTAGCAAACATGTACTTAGTGTATATGCTTTTCAAGGTATTCTGTTAAATACAAAGGTGGGAGTTTACTATTATAAATGATTAAGACAGTGGGAAGTATGTAATATGTGAATTAAAAGTGGTAAATATTACTTCAGAGATTCATAAAAGAGGGGCCTTCCAGTTAGAGTTATCAAAAATGACTTTTTCACATGTAATTTACAGTAGGGCTTACAGAACTGTAGGATTTTAATAAGTGAATACAGGAATCAGGTCATTCTAAATTGAGAAAATTGGATACAGAGAAGGAAGCAGGAAAGATAACATGTGGTTTAGGAATGACCAGTAGTCTAATTTGATTAAACCACAAAATAAATTAAGTTCTTACTATAAGCTAGAAATTTTACACTCTTTAAGGAATTATTTAGGAGTATTATCTTTGTTTTCAGATAATGAAACTGGCTTAGGGAGTTTAAGTAATTTGTCCAAGCCATTATATCTATCGAAAATGATAAAACAGGATTGGACTTCTATAGTCAAGCACCAGAGCCTTTTCATATCACTACTAGATTATAGCTGCCATCTTCAAGGACGTGGTGTAAAATAAAGTTACAAGTTAGGTAAGTACTGAACTTTAGATGCTGATAAATGCTTGCTGAAACAGTCAGAGCTTCATTTAATAGGTAATAATTTTAACGGTGGAGGAAGAAACCAACAGAACAGAGTTTTAAGCGTAACAAGCAACAGTACAAAAGTGATCTGAGTCAGGTAAAAAAAAGTCAACAGAGGCTAGCTGGTAATCTACTGCAGTGACACAGGAAAGCTCTGACCTCGAAATGGGATTCATGGGATACTATGATGAAGCTACATGGAAAATAATTAGTTTCTTTCCCGATACTACACAATCAAAGGTAGTTAAATCAAGTTTACAGTTCTGCATTCTGGCCGTGAAATTGTAGCTAATATCAGAAGAGAAAAACTCATTGTAATTTCATAGTGTTATAAATAAAGAAAGCTGGTAGAGACTGGGCATACATAGCAAAGCCATTTCTCCTTATAAACTTACTTCATTTTTCCTTTCTTCATTTATTTGTTCCTTCTTTTTTTCCCTAATTCTCTACCTTCACCCTTTCTTACTGGTTGGCAGTATAATAGAACACCATGTTGCTATATAAGAGCAGTTATCTTAGATACAAGTTTGTATAATTTCAGTAGTTATTTTAGATATAGAGAGGTTGGTTAGAACTACAGTACAGGCAAGGCTGTCTCCTGAGCCAATTGGTAAGATTGCTATAATTTGTTATAATTATTACATATATACTTACTTTTCAACTTGAACTATAATATAGAAATGCCTAGGACAGTGTCTGGCACAAAGGGAGTGACAAGTGTAAATACACAGAGTATTACAAAAAGATACTTAGGTATATAAGCATTTCCTACTTAGCTACATCATCTTTTAATGTTCTCACATTCACCATGTTTTCCATCTTGACCTTTGTACTTCAATGTATTTTTCCCCATATCTTCTCCTTTAAAGCCAGTATCTTGCATTTTTTGTAAATGATAAGCCATTTTTTTCTCTAGAAGGTCTTGTTTCTACAACATTTAAGAAAATATATTGGTTAATATTAACTTGTCATTAGAAATGTAAAACAATTTATTTAAAATGTGACAATATATTAAAAATGGATTATCAGTCCTGTCTTGACTGGTAATGTTACAAAAATAAGAGAATAATAAAGGGTAAATTTCCATTGTGATCAAACACAAAGAATACATTTAATACACATACAATTTACCACTCTACACATCATCAGAGGAGTAATCCAGTTTCTGATCAGACAGAGTATCATATCCATGGCTACCCTGGTGAGTTAAAGTAATTTCTCAATCATCTTCAATTGGAAGATTGCTGAGGGCTTACCCAAATATCACTCAGGTCTACCAGACATAAACATAATATAGTACATAAAATGTGATTTCCCTTTGTGAATATCTGAGCTACTGTCAAATGTACTTGAAAGACGATAAATGCATACAGAAAAAAAAAAAAAAAAAAGAAACCAGAGATTCTCAGAGGCTTCTTGCAATATTTAGCAAAAAATGGATTGGCACATGTAAACAACTACCCATGACTACAGTAAAGACCTTCCTAAAGGACTGGGGAAAACAGTCACTGGAACCTACCTAGATGTAGAAAACATGCCTATTCCCACTAGAAATATTTCACTGTAAAGCTACACTGGAAAAACTTCATGAGTCATAAAGCTTTGAATAGAGAACAAAGATGGGTCTTAATTCAGTAGGAGGGAATAACAAGCCCCAGATTAAACATGGCCCCACCAGCAAATCATAAAAGGCAAGATCTGTACAATCAAATTGTTTCCAAATAAATTATCTACACCCAAAAATTCTAAATAATATTTATAAGAACATAAAAATATTCAGTATACAAAGTAAAATTTATGTCTGGCATCCAATCAAAGAACACTAGGTATAAAGAAACAGGGAAATATGACTTACAAAATAAGTAGATCAATCAACTGAACTGACTCAAACATGACACAAATGAAACAATAACAGTCAATATAATTGCAATTTGTATGTAAACAAATTGAAGAAGAGATATGGAAGATATAAAAAGGTCCAAAAGCAGTTTTCAAATATGTGAGATGAACAATACAATGGATGTATTAATGGTGGAGTAGATATTCCAAAAGATTAGATAATGTGAACTCAGCAACACAAACCATCCAAAAGAAAACACAGAGGGGTGAATAAATGAAAAAATTTCAGTGAGATATGGGACAACTTCAAGCAACCTAATATACCTGAAGAGAGGAGAGAGGAGATAATATTTGATAATAATGACCTAAAATGTTTCAAATTTGATGAAAACCATAAACCCACAGGTCGAAGAAGCCCAAAATACCAACATATAGGAAACAAGAAAAATTTCACCAAGGCATAACAATCAAATTTCTCAAAATTACTGATAAAAAGAAAAAATTTTAAATTTACTAGAAAAGCAAATTATGTTACATAGAGAAAAATAAAGTTTAAAGACAGTAGATTTTCCTTGGAACCAATGTAGAGAAGAAAGTGAAACAGCATCTTTAAAGTACTAAAATAAAAAAAAATAGTCAATGGTGAATTCTATACCTAGTTGATTTAACCAACATATACTCAAAGAAAAGTTTTCAAAAATAAGGGTAAAGTCTTCTGCAGACATAAAAAAGTTAGTTGCAGCAGGAGCAATGTTAAAGAAAGCCCTTCAGATAGAAGAAAAAAATGATAACAGATGAAAATATGGGCCTTCCAAAAAACAAAAAGAATAAAGAGCATAAAAAATTTAAGTATATGGCCAAATATAATATGTGATTTATTTACATCATGATAAAAGATAAATAATTATTTAGACAAACTTGACAATGTAGTGTGGGATTTATTACATATATGATTATAAATAAAATAAATGACCAAAATAGCATAAAGGCCAAATGGAAAAAAAAAAGCATAATATTGCAATGTTTTTATATGTGAAATAGTATAAATAGTATAATCGCCCTTTACAATCTACCCTAATAAATTAAAGATATATACTATAATGCTTAAACCAACTGGTAAATTTTAAACAAAGAAACAATATACAAAATACATACAAAGGGATCATTAAAAATCCAAAGAAAAAGGCAGAAAATTTAGAAAAGAACACAGATGAGACAAATAGAAAACAAAGAATGAGATGGCAGTTGGTAAACTATCATGTTAATAATCATACTAAGTGTAAATGCTACAAACACCTAGATTACATGCAGTTTTCAGATTTCATATGAAAGCAAAGCCCATCTATATGAGTAGTAACCACACACACACACACACACACACACACACACACACACACACACAGAGAGAGAGAGAGAGAGAGAGAGAGAGAAATAAAGACCTATATTTGGTCTTAAAAGTAAAACATAAGAAAATGATATGCCTTGCTAACAGTAATCAAAATAAAGCTGAAGTGGCAATATTAATATTACATGCAATATTAGAGCAAAAAATCATACCAGAAGAAAATATTTTCATCATAATAAAAACAATCAAATCACCAACAGACATAACAATTCTAACAATTTTCACCTGATACTGAGCTTCAAATAAATAACACAAAAACTGAAATACTAGCCAAATCCAAAAATATAGTCAGACATTTCAGTAACTCTTTATCTCAATAATCGAGAGAACAAGTAGACAGAAATTGAGCTAGGATTTAGATTTGTACAACTCTGTCAATGAACTTGATATCTAGAGAACAGTTATAAAATACTTCACCCAACTACAGTAGAAATAAAATATTTTTCATATATACATTTGTGATTTACCCAAAAATGTAATTTGTGATGATAAAATAAGTCTAAATATACTTAAAAAGATTTGGGAACTAAAACTGTGTTATTTGACAAAAATAAAAGTAAATTTGAAATCAATAACAGAAAAATCTTGGATACATTCCAAATATTCAGAAGCTAAATGACACAATTCTAAATAACCAATGATTCAAAGATAAAATTAAGAGAAATTAAAATATTTTTAATTGAATAAATATAAAAACGTAGCATATCGGCCGGGTGCGGTGGCTCAAGCCTGTAATCCCAGCACTTTGGGAGGCCGAGGCGGGTGGATCACGAGGTCAAGAGATTGAGACCATCCTGGTCAACATGGTGAAACCCCGTTTCTACTAAAATTACAAAAAATTAGCTGGGCATGGTGGCACGTGCCTGTAATCCCAGCTACTCAGGAGGCTGAGGCAGGATAATTGCCTGAACCTGGGAGGTGGAGGTTGCAGTGAGCCGAGATCACGCCATTGCACTCCAGCCTGGGTAACAAGAGCAAAACTCCGTCTTAAAACAAACAAACAAACAAACAAAAAAAAAACATAGCATATCAAAAAAACCTGGGGACTCTTGATAGACCAGTGTTAGGGAAATTTAGGCAGTACTAAATTTCTATACTAGAAAAGAAGAAAGGTCTTCAATTAATGACTTCCTAAAGAGAGAAAGCTATTTAACAAAAAATAAGTATATAACAAAGACCAGAACAGAAATTCACAAAATAGAAAGAAAACAGACAAATTCATTAAAACTAAAAACTTACAGTTTGAGAAAATCAGAAAATGAGAAATAAGAAGAAAAGGAAAAAGCAACTCTAGTTGGGACTAAAAAGGAAAAAAGAAGTTACAAATTACCATATCAGTAAGGTGAGCAGGTGACATCACCAGGGTCTAGAGATACTCAAAGGATAACAAAAGAATGTTACAAACAACTTTGTCAATAAATCCTACAATTCAGATGATATGAAAAAAGTCCAAAATACACTTTCAAAACTCTTTTTAAAATAATGTTTTGAATCGATATGTCTATTAAGGAAATTGAATATGTAGTTAAGTATCTTCCCACAAAGAAAATTCATACCCAAATGTCTTCACTGATAAATTACATAAAATATATAAAAAGTAAAGAATACCAATTCTAAAATAATTTTTCCAAAAATCTGAAGAGGGAATACATACTGATTTATGACATGAGTCCAGCACTGCCCTGATACCAAAATCAGGAAAGGGTAGTGTAAGAAAACTACATTTTGCACTAACATCTCTAGTACAAAAGTCTAAACAAAATTTTGGCTAATAAAACAATATGTAAAAATGATAATACAATTGTACCAAGTGTATTGGTTTAATGACTATTTGTTCAGGATTCATTTAACATTTAAAAATCAATTTATGTTATCTACTATACAATGAACCACAAAAGAAAACTTACATGTAAATTTAATAAAGCCACAGAGAAAATGTTTGACAAAATCTTACATTCATTTCTGACAGAAAAGTTCAGCAAACTAGAAATAGAAGAAAATTTCCTCTACCCGATGAATGACATCTGTAGAAAACCCACAGCTAACCCTATAATTAATGGTGACAGAGTTAATACTTTCCCCTTGAGATCAAGAACAAAGAAAGTACTATCAAACAAATCACCAATCAAAAATAGCTAGTATGTCTGCTTCTATACTAAAGGTTGTAGGCAGTGAGATCAAGAAAGAAAAAAAAAATTAAAGATACTCATATTGGAAGAAATAAAACTCCCTTTATTCACTAGAAATGATCATCTATGTAGACTATTAATTGGCATGTAGAAAAAAGTACTACTAGAACTGACTATAATTTTAACAATGTAGGATACAAGAGGAATACACATAAATCAGGTGTTTTTCTATATATTAGCATTAAGTATTCAAAATTTGAAATTTAAAAAACATATGTTACAATAGCATAAATTGTATAAAATACCTAGGAATGAATCTATGAAAAGATCTATAAGAACAGTACAGTGCAAACTACATAGCACTGTTAAGGGAAATTAAGTAGACCTAAATAAATGAAGAGACATATGTGGTTTTTGAGTTGACTCAATATTATTAAGAGGTAAATTGTGCCCAGACTGACCTATAGAGTTAACGCAAATCTGATAAAAATAAATCTCAGCAAGACGTTTTGGTAGAAATTAATAAGCTGATGCTAAAATTAGTATGGAAATACAAAGGGCTTGAAATTAACTAAAACAACTGAAATAGAAAAACAAATGTGTAAGGCTAGCACTACACATTGAAAGAATTTTTAAAGGTACAATAATCAAACAAATAGGTCAAAGAATAGAAGAGAGTCCAAAAACAGGGCCACACAAATAACTTTTGATGAAGATATTAAGAGCAAAATCTGAACTATAAGACATAATTTGCAGTGAAAACATAACGTCAAATCTGAAGATCATAAAACATAAAAATATTAAGAAACACAAAGGAATTCAAAAATCTCATAATAAAACAAGATTCACAAAAGACAATTGTAAAATAACCTCATTGGAAATACCAGTGTTCAAATGGCTCTGCCATTAGCATGGCTTAGGCAGCCTGTGGTGTTATCAGCCTTATAGTCAGTGACCACGTTTAATGGGCACTCCTCCAATTTTGTTCAGTTGCATTATTAGTCTCCACTAAAATTGACCAAAACTCCTTGAGTAGTAATGGAAATTAGGCAAAAGGAGAAAAATCTAGTGCATTCAATTGCTTCTAGAAAACAAAGATACCTTCAGAGATGTGCAGTTTCAGAGCAAACAGAAGAGAACAACTTGGTGAGACCTCTCATTGAAAAATAGTGAAAAATTGAATATTAAAAACATTAATAATAATTATGGCTGGGCATGGTGGTTGACACCTGTAATCCCAGCCCTTCAGGAGGCCAAGGTGGGAGAATCATTTGAGCTCAGGAGTTCGAGACCAGTAAGGGCAATGTAGTGAAAACTCATCTCTACAAAAAAGAAGAAGAGAAGAAGAGGAAAAGGGAGAGGAAGAAGGATAAGGAGAAGGAGAAGGAAAAGGAGAAGGAGGAAGAACAAGAGGAAGAGGAAGAAGGAGGAGGAGGAGCAGGAGTAAAAACAAAAAAGAAAAAAGTAAAATAATCATTATGGTAAATTGGAATAAGCTGAGCCTGCAATATGAACAGGGAGTGTCTGATGGTACTGCAAGATACAGGTAAGAAAGAGAATGAAAGATAAGCATACATATTTAAACTTCCAATACTTTTACAAAATTGCTATATAACAGTATATGACAGTACAAATCAAATTGTTTAAATCTTACACTCACATCTAAGTTTCTTTACAATAACCTATTTAAAATTGCTATTTAGAAATTTAGATCAATATTTATCAACATGCTAAGTTGATGATGATATTTTATTGAATGAAAAAACAGTCTACACACAGCTTGTGAGGTATAATATGTATTTAATTATTAATTGGGATAAATAAATATTTTTGGAAACATTCTGGTGGGGTGTATTTGTATATGTGTGAACTAAAAAGTTGATAGGGTGGTGGTTGTAGGATTTTTCCCTTTCTTTATATTAATTTACACTCTAAGTCACAAAATCTTATATATTATTAGACATAAAAACAAGTAAGCTAAGTAAAATTAACTGGTAAAAGAAAAAATGAGAAATCCTGCCAAGAATTGCTGGTTCTAAAAAAATTAATTCAGTCATTTAATTTATTCATAGTAATTACAAGTTCAGTTTATGGTGTAAAAATAAAGCACAAAATAGTTATATCACATAATAGTACTTTTTATATTACAGTCAAAATGTACTAAAATTGTCCATAACTTTCAGTTTTATATCATGTATATTATTTGGAGTAACTGATCATCAGTCATCTCACAAATGATTTGTACTTCAAAAAACCAAAACAAAATCTCTTCAAACAGCTCAGGTTAGAGGTTAAAGCTCACCCTACCTTCCTGTCACTCTCTTCTCTGTTTCTATGCCGTTGTTCTTCTATCCTCTCTTCTCTTTTAACATCTTCTGCCATCTTTGTCAGAAGTAACATCTCTTTTGTCTTCCATTCCTAGAAATCACAACATTACTGCACTTGGCATTCGTTCCCTTCACAACAATATCTTTGTATTTTGTCCCACCAAAAAGTATATTTAAACAAGTCAGAGCCTAATAGAAATCAGGTTAAGCAAAATAAAAGTCACACATTGGATTTAGAATAGACTTTTCTTTCTTAATTCTTATTAGGAATGCAGATATGATTATTTTTTACTAAAGCTAAATACAGAAAAAATTCCTCTCCACAATAAAGGCTTTAAGAGAGTTCAATAGTGTCTAGTAACTTTCTAACTGTTCTTTTAGAGTAGAAACTGGCTCATAGACATACCTCCTGGTATCCACCTCACAATTTTATGTAACAACTTGTGTATTGTAGCTATGAAGAATATTTAATGGGAACAAGTTATTTTGAGCTGAAATGATTTCAGGCCGTACAATGTACAGTTAAAATTATTTGAAAGTGAAACAACTGTATACAATTTATCTCTTAATATTTTAAAGTTGTTATCTCTCACCTCTTCGATTTTTCTACGAAGAGCGAGTTTTCTTTTTGTGTGTTCCCGCTGTCGTCTTTCTTCTCTATCCATCAGGTATAGGCGTTGTTCTTCTGCTGTGCGTTCAAGTTGTTCTAGTTTTCTACTTATCATATCCAAATATCTGAATGAGTGTAAATATTACTGAAGGTGAATTAGCTGTTTCTTTTATGATGGCATCATCTGTTATGCCACTTCCAAACCACTTCCTTGCTTACCTTTCATTTCTTGAGCTACAAGAATTTTACTATTTTTTTATCAGTCCTGTTTATAAACCTTTAAAACAGCCTTGAATGTCCACTGGATAAACAATGAAATGAAGGCAGAAATAAAGATATTCTTTGAAACCAAGGAGAACAAATACACAATGTACCAGAATCTCTGGGACATATTTATAGCAGTGTCTAGAGGGAAATTTATAGCAATAAATTCCCACATGAGAAGCAAGGAAATATCTAAAATTGACACCCTATCATCAAAATTGAAAGAGCTAGAGGAGCAAGATTAAAAAAAAAACTCAAAAGCTAGCAGAAGACAAGAAATAATTAAGATCAGAGCAGAACTGAAGGAGATAGAAACACAAAAATCCCTTCAAAAATCAATATTTCTAGGAGCTGATTTTTGAAAAGATCAAACAAAATAGAAGACGACTAGCCAGATTAATAAAAAAGAAAAGAGAGAAGAATGAAATAGATGCAATAAAAAATGAAAAACGGGATATCACGACCGATTCCACAGAAATACAAACTACCATCAGAGATTACTACAAATAACTCTATCACATAAACCAGTAAACCTGAAAGAAATGGATAAATTCCTGGACACTTGCACACTCCCAAGCCTAAACCAGGTAGAAGTTGAAACCCTGAATAGACCAATAACAAGGGCTGAAGTTGAGGCAGCAGTTAATAGCCTATCAACGAAAAAGAGTCTGGGTCTAGATGGATTCACAACCAAATTCCACCAGAAATACAAAGAGGAGCTGGTACCACCGGTTCTGAAACTATTCCAAACAATCCAAAAAGAGGGAATCCGTCCCAAATTGTTTTATGAGACCAACATCATCCTGATACCAAAACCCAGCAGAGACTCAACAAAAAAGGAAAACTTCAGCCAATATCCATGAGGAATATCAATGCAAAAATCTTCAATAAAATGCTGCCAAACCGACTACCACAGCACATCAAAAAGCTTATCCATCACAATCAAGTAGGCTTCATCCCGGGGATGCAAGGCTGGTTCAACATAGGCAAGTCTATAAAGGTAACCCACCACATAAACAAAACCAAAGACAAACATCACATGATTATATCTCAATAGATCCAGAGAAGGCCTTTAACAAAATTCAACAGCACTTTACGCTAAAAAACTCTCAAGAGACTAGGTATTGATGGAATGTACCTCAAAATAATAAAACTTATATATGACAAACCCACAGCCAATAACATACTGAATGAGCAAAAACTCAAAGCATTCCCTTTGAAATCTGGCACTAGACAAGGATGCCCTCCCTCAACACCACTGTTATTCAATATAGTATTGGAAATTCTAGCCAGAATAATCAGGCAAGAAAAAGAAATAAAGTGTATTCAATTAGGAAAGGAGGAAGTCAAATTGTCTCTATTTGCAGACAACATGATTGTATATTTAGAATCATTATCTCAGCCCAAAATCTCCTGAAACTGATAAGCAACTTGAGCAAAGTCTAAGGATACAAAATCAATGTGCAGAAATCACAAGCAATCCTGTACACCAATAACAGACTTAAAGAGAGCCAAATGAAGAGTGAACTGCCATTCACAATTACTACGAAGAGAATAAAATACCTAGGAATACAACTAACAAAGGATGTAAAGGACCTCTTCAAGGAGAACTACAAACCACTGCTCAACGAAATAAGAGAGGACACACACAGATGGAAAAACCTTCCATGCTCATGGTTAGGAAGAATCAATATTGTGAAAATGGCCATACTGCCCAAAGTAATTTATAGATTCAACACCATCTCCATCAAGCTACCTATGACTCTCTTCACAGAACTGGAAAGAAACCACCTTAAACTTCATATGGAACCAAAAGAGAGCCCGCATAGCCAAGTCAATTCTAAGCGAAAAGAACAAAGCAGGAGGCATCACACTACCTGACTTCAAACTATACTACAAAGGCTACATTAATCAAAACAGCAACTCCAGAGGCTGAGGCGGGAGAACCACTTGAACCCAGGAGGCAGAGGTCACAGTGAGCCGAGATCATGCTACTGCATTCCAGCCTGGGTGACAGAGCAAGGGAAAAAAAAAAAAAAAGGTTAGAGAGCAGAGACTATGAAGGCCCAGGGGAGCGCAGCATGGCTTCAGCTGTCCTTCCTATCATGTTTGTCAGTCAGTGACTTGTAACCGAAAGTGGTAAAGAAATAGAGGAGATAGGGAGGCCGAAAAAAAAAAAAAATCAAAACAGCATAGTACCGGTACCAAAACAGAGACATAGACCAATGGAACAGAACAGAGGCCTCGGAGGCAATGCCACACATCTACAACCATCTGATCTTTGACAAACCTGACAAAAAGAAACAATGGGAAAAGGATTCCCTGTGTAATAAGTGATGTTGGGAAAACTGGCTAGCTATGTGCAGAAAGCAGAAACTGGACTCCTTCCTGACACCTTACACTAAAATTAACTCCAGATAGATTAAAGACTTAAACATAAGGCCTAATACCATAAAAACCCTAGAAAATGATCAACGCAAAACCATTCAGGACATAGGCAAAAGAAAAGACTTCATGACTAAAACACCAAAAGCATTGGGAACAAAAGCCAAAATAGACAAATGCTATCTAATTAAACTCCAGAGCTTCTGTGCAGCAAAAGAAACAATCATTAGAGTGAACTGGCAACCAACGGAATGGTAAAAAATTTTTGCGATCATTAAAAAATCTGGAGATAACAGATGCTGCAGAGGATGTGGAGAAATAGGAACACTTTTACACCATTGGTGGGAATGTAAATTAATTCAACCATTGTGGAAGACAGAGTGGCAATTCCTCAAGAACCTAGAAATAGAAATTCTATTTGACCCAGCAATCCCATTACTGTGTATATATCCAAAGGATTATAAATCATTCTACTTAAAGACACATGCACACGCATGTTCATTGCAACACTGTTTACAATAGCAAAGACCTGGAACCAACCCAAATGCCCACTGATGAGAGACTGCACAAGGAAAATGTGGCACATATACACCATGGAATACTATGCAGCCATAAAAAACGATAAGTCTGTGACCTTTGCAGGGACATGGTTGAACCTGGAAACCATCATTCTCAGCAAACCAACACAAGAACAGAAAATCAAACACCGCGTGTTCTCACTCATAGGTGGGTGTTGAACAATGAGAAGACATGGACACAGGGAAGGGAGCATCACAAACTGGGGTGTGTTGCGGGGGACTAGGGGAAGGACAGCAAGGTGTAGGGAGGTTAGGGAGGGATAATATGGGGAGAAATGCCAAATATAGGTGACAGGGGGATGGAAGCAGCAAACCACATTGCTATGTAGGTACCTATGCAACAATCCTGCATGTTCCGCACATGTACCCCAGAACCTAAAGTGCAATAAAAAAATACATAAATGCATATATATATATATATATATATATGAAAGATTTATTGACTTCAAGAAAAAAAAAAACAGCCTAACCCACCAACTCAGAGTGTTTTACTCATTATAAGGTCTTCCCAATACCCAATTATCTGATATGATGGCAAAGATGATGGTAAAAAGTAGACCAAAATTATTCAAAACATATTTCACAGTAAGCATTCATAAATAAGTAGGTTTAAGAAGATGTGCGTGCAAATATGGCTGAAATAGTCGAAACGGTAACTTCAAAAGCAGAAAAAGAAAATGAATTCTCTAAGAAAAAGTGGGCATTGGGTTCATTATAATTTATAAGTCCTTGAACAAACCTCCCATTTGTAGTCTGCATCTCTGGTACATCAATAAGTATTATGGCAACAATACCACGTAATGAAACCATGGAATGAATATAGAAGTCAGGTAATGTAGCCAAATTCCTTACTCCATCCCTAGGGCAGGAAAAAGAACTATAATATCCTTTTCTTCCTAAGAAATGGGCTTGTTCATGGAATGGCCATAATTGACTACGACTAGGTCATATCTAAATGAGCTTATGCTCTTTTTTTATAGACAATACATATTTATATATTGGCATCAGTTATACCAAATCTTTTTTTGACTTTGCACCAACTTCCTCAAACAATGCTGTCAATTTTAAAGATGAAATCATAAAAAGCTGTTATTGTTTGAAGCATGTGCTAAAGATACTTTCTCTCCCTATTCTACTATAGAAAAATTTTGGATCTAATTTTTCCTTTGCCTGGGGCTTTCAGCAACCATAATTCCTCTGGTAGTAAATTCTTCCACCTCTTGGTTTTGCTTCCTTCTCTACTCTGAAAAATTTAGGAGAATGGTGTCTAGGTCTTACAAAAAATTGTTCAATTCTTTCTAGTATTTTCCAACTTATTTGGGTCCACAACATACACATAAAATAAGCATCAACTTTTATCTTACCTATGCCTCATTAACCGCTCCTGGTCCTTGATAGATTCAGTGCCCTCCTTTAACAACCAGTTCTGGACTTGGGCAACATCACAATATTGAGGGATTTGATTGTTTTCCGGTACATTATGTAGTTGTTTTGCAAGTATTTTCTATTTAAGAAATGTGTATATTACATACATATATATATATAATGTTTTTTATATTTCCCAGAAATAAAATCATATAAATTCCTATATTTTATAAATGCTTAATTCTGTTTAATTGCATTTACATCTATTTTGAATCCGTTAAAGACACAGACAAGTAAAACAAAACTAAGCTTTATCTTTCTAAAAATAAAAGGTAAAATTTCCATTTATTTGTCAATGTATTCTAAGTAAGTTAAATAAAAATATGCAGGAAGTAGAGAAGAAACACTGGGCACAGAAAGAAGTGGGGAAAATATAGAATACTTAGAAGTATACAGAAGTCCTTCTCATTTTTATTCAGCCCTCTTACTTTTAGAACATAGCTTTGCAAATACACATATACACATCTTTCTCATTTTGATACAGACCTCTTGACCCTAACATCTGAATACACACACACACACACACACACACACACACACACACACACACACATATCTTTGAGTCAAAAATCAAAAGGAAGTCACTCTCCATAACAGCTCACTACACTCAATCATTCCACTTCACATTTAAGAACAACATTTTTACTGGATGAATATAGATGCACCTGTATGAGCACAAAGACGGAATGTACATATTCTTAAATCACCTTAGAACATTACAGGTATTTACTGTTCTTTTCCTATGGCTCAAATTGTTTTCGGTTTCACTTAAGAATCTATCTGCCACACGAGATGTTTCTTATTGGCCTTAGCTCAGGGGAAAACAACACATCTGACTAGCAATTTAATTACTAAATTATGCCAGCTACTACTAGTGTGTTGATAGATGACCCAGTCCTTTTTCCATTCTTGGCCAAACATAGCAGCATCCAAATGTTTATTCCTACTCTAAATTTTCAATTGAAAAAAATATGCAATTACTTTGTCAATAATTAAGGGTGAAATATGATTAAAAAATACTCTACATGTAAGTAAGGATTTCTTACAAACTCTATGTAAACAAACCAAATTTAAGTGTTTAACTTACTTGTTCTCTTATATAGTTTCTTTCAAAGTCTAATTTTAAACTGGTAAGATATTGCCTGTACTTATTCAATTCTCTCAAAGTACATACAACCTACAAACAAAAAGAAAAACATATCAATATTTAAAAAATATTAAATATGTTAACATTATATAAATATTTTAAATATATATTTTTAAATTATTTTAATGATTTAAAAATCACTTTCCAAAAAAAATAGCAGTGACCTACAATTTAATGACATTTTGGCATAAAGAGTAATAAACTGCTAACAACGTTGTAGAGTAGTATCTCTCTGCATTTGTTAATCAGCAAGAAATTTCTATCCAAAAATACAAGTTAGGCTGAGGCAAGAGGATCTCTTGAGGCCAGGAGTTTGAGATAAGCCTGGACAACACAGCAAGACCCCATCTCTAAAAACAAAAACCAGCAGGGGAGGCATGTGCCTGTGGTCCCAGCTACTTAGGAGGCTGAGGCAGGAACACAGCTTGAGCCCAGGAGGTCAAAGCTGCCATGAGCCATGATCACGCCATTGCACTCCTGTGTAGGTAACAAAGTGAGAACTTGTCTCTAAAAAATGTATATATATCACTTTATTAATATGATTAATATCATAAAAGAAGTTTAGTCAACACATTTAGAGTTATCACAGTAATAATTTAAATTAGCTGTAATTGGATTATAATTTTACATGTAATAACATTGTTTGACTCCAATTAAAAAGTACTCTATCAAGGTTCTAACAGACTGAAATTTGTAGGTTTCTATTTCATCTCAAGTTTTTAAAAGTATGTGGAACAGAATCCTTGACAATTATACATTGTATAATTATATACACTATATAATGCCATTAAAGACAAAGAAGGCTGTAATACACATAGTAAAATTAATATATCTTTGTATTGTTAAATTATTTTTCAATAATTTTTTATATTACCAAGAAAAAAAATGAAGGAAGAGTAGTTTTATTTAGCAACAACTGTTGTCTGATTTCTCTTGATCCAAATGCTGAGAAATTTATAGAACTGCCTATTAAGTATTGTCTCATGACCAGGTTCAAAGTGACACAGCTCCCCCCCACCTCCTGAGTGAGGTGTAGAAACAAGTTTATATCAAGTTTTAAAGGGTTTCATTGATTAAAAAAAGAAGTAATCTTCAACCCACTTTATTATTGCTGGTGACATAGCCACCTTTCTTTAGTCTCTTCAGAATATCTTTGCGCTTATAGTATGCTTTTAAATGTGGATCATGGAGGCTTTTATATTGGTTTTCCAAAAGTCGACAATAAGGATCAGTCAGGTTAAAACCATAAGAAGGTCGAAAAAGCTGCAAACACAGAGTCAAAAATACGTAAAATTAATGCATTTTTACTTTAAATAACCTATCACGATGATTAGGATGTTCATTGAAAATAATGTGGAAGACGAATCTGAAGTGGAGAAAAACAGCTACAGAAAAACTGGGGTTGGGTGTGCTTTCCTGCCTTTCCCTTCCTTTTTCCTCACCTGCATGAGTTATCCCAAAGACTCACCTTCCCTCAATCAGTTTCTCCTTTAATCCTCTTCAGACCCTGGCTCTCAGTTAAATAAGAAAAAAGAAGAGGAAAAGAAAGGGAATAGATTATAGTTTGTATTAAGGTATAAAGCCAATGATAGGATTCTTTCTTTTCCTCCTCCCTCTCTCAAATCAGAATATTCTATTCAAAAGATAAAGGGATAATAATAATTATAATTTTATTTCAATCATCTTAAAATGAACAAAAATAACAGAAAATGTTCATCAAAATTTACAAAAATAACCTTAATAAATCGTAAAAGTAAAACTTGGATATTAAAGATTTTGAGTTAGAGTCATTGCATCTTGGGGCTTTTAATGCATGAAATGAACAGTCTCTGAGTGCTAGAGTAAGACGAATACCTGAGGTCTATATTATGCAGTTCAACACACTGAAGAACTAATTTTAAAACTGAAGTTTATTCATTTGTGTGAAGACCAAATACACCTTTAGGCAACAGCCATTGAGATATAAAAGGAGAAAAAGATAATCAGTTATTAGTTACGTTTCTATATCTGCTGCATTAGAGAAAACAGCTGAGTTATTCAATCTCACCATAAATTAAAATATTAGCAAAGTGAGGTTTTTTTGGTGTGAGTTCTCAGTTTTTCAATAGCAGGACGCTGATAATGGCTTATTGGAGGACTTCTGAAATGGAAAAAGTAGAGAATGAGAGTAGGAAGCTGTGCTAATGTTACTTTTTACATCCTTTCTTTCTGTTTTAAGTTTGCTGGGCCAGAACAAAATATGTTTTATAATAGTTCAAAATAATGTCAAATCAGGAAATGACTCAGGGGACAGATAATTGGAGTATGTGGGTAATATGGCAAACCAGAGAGCATCTGCCCTTGCAGGTACGAAGTTCAATTTATACTACCACAACAACACTAAGCACCAATCCAGACATGTCTAGAGGCACCAATTTGTGACCTCTGTTTTCAGTTTGGCTGTAGCCACAGTTGCAGTCCAGATCCTAAACACTATGGCATCTAGCTAGGTTGGACCCTTAAAAGAACTCCAGAAAGATAAGTAGGAGGATGCTTTGTATATGGGTAAAAGGTAGATGAGAGGAATGTAATAGGATACGAGCTCTTCCTTTGCATTTAAAAGCTTATTTAAGTTTCTGACCTCTTGTGTAACATTAAACTTTAATCGCTTCCAAGGAGCCTAACCAGAAAGCTAGATTCCCTGATTACCAGTGCTTTCCTGAGAAGGCAAAGAAAGGACTCCTACAGGAGAAAGCCTTGAATTCAGTGAGTTCACAAATGAAGCCCAGATCTTTTCTGGAAGGGAAATAATCAATAACAATAAGTCAAGGAGTGAACTGAATATTTATTTCAGATATTGACATTGAGCTGTAAACTTTTATAAAATGTTAACTTTTAGCCGTGACAGGCATATGTTTCTCAATACCAAACCTGAGTGCTACTGACCTGTAAACTAAGAACACATTTAAACAAATCCACCCATTTGAGCCGAGTAAACTTTCTATTGCCAATTAATATATCTGGTTTCCCTTAAAATGTAAATATAAAGCATGACTTCATGAAGAAGGGTACTCTGAAAGAGAAAATTATTCAGAAAAACTAGTATGGTGACTATCATTAAACAAATTTGGGGATAAATAATGTAATAAAAATAGAACATCTTTTTGAAAAGTAGTCAACAAGTCTACTTAATGGTAGACAGAGAAGATGGCAATAGAGTAAAAAGAATATATTTGAGGGAGGAGACCAAAGACGGCGTTCTAAGTTTATACACTAAAGAGGAATTATATCTCCTGTAATGGAATAAGTTTCAAGCATGTTTTTGCAAAGTTTGTGTGGATGTGACTCAAATTGTTTGAAGATGGTAGTTCACTTGCTCTATAGTAATAGAGCAGATCAGTTTTTTTTTTAAAGGGCAATTATACTTTTCCCAGAAACAAAACTTGCTTTAAGAAATCATGTTTATTTAGTATGTTAGATTGACTGTATGCCCCTAAAATTCATATGCAATCCGAACCTTCAATGTGATGGCATTAGGAGCTGGGGCCTTGGGGGATAATTAAGTCATGATGGTGGAGTCCACATCAAGAGGGATAATGTTCCTATAAAGACCACAGGGAATGCTCTAGCCTTCTTTCTACCATGCTGAGAGGTAATGAAAAGACTGCAAAGGGCCCTCACCAGAGTCTGACCATGCTGGTGTCCTGGTCTTGGACTTCCAGCTCCAGAACAATGATAAATATGTTTACGTTATTTCTAAGCCACCAATCTATTGTACATTGTTATAACAGCCTGAACTGTATAAGGCATTAGGCAAGTATCAAATACCAAGGGATTCTACTCATTTCTGATGACATCATAGACATTAGAATGGTAAGTGGGTCACTTAGAATTCTTTCTTGTATAACTTTCTGCAAAATTGATAAAAGCAACCAGTCAGTAAGAATGTACTAAACCTCCTTCAGCATTTACTACTTAGTCAAAGGCTGAGGAGGTATGGGGGTAGGTTTGGTGTTGAGGACTAACATGAAAAGGCTTAAGGGAAGTACACACTATAATCCAGTATGATTAAGCATGGTTTGTATAAGGGATCGTACAAATCCAGGTCAACGTGAATCCAAAGCAAAGATCAATTAATTGCTGGGGGAGCGGCTATAACAGATCAGGGTTTCTTAAAAGATAGCTCAGATTCCTAGACTGGGGAGAAGAAGACAGAGTATGCCAGGTTCGGGGCCAAAGTTGACAAAACACAGAAGTATTAGCCTGGTATTCATGTGTAGGTGTGAAAGACATCAACTGGAAGAAACTGAGCCTCTGGTTGGAGACAATAACGGATGAAAAGGCTGGGGCACATTATGGAGTCTATTCCTCATTGAGGCAGGTCTTTCTTTCATTGAAATGAGGTTAAAGTGCTAACATACTAACTCATTTTAACTCCCACTGTGTTAGTTCTTTTTTTTTTCTTTTTTTTTTTTAATTTATGTGTGTAAAACAGTATTCAACTCAAAACAAAATAGTGTGTCCTGTGAAGAGAGTTTGGTCCAAGATAGTCAGTCAAAATCATAACACATAATTAAATGGCAGCTAGCACTAATAGTCTTTCACCTCCCAAACACGTTTCTAGGTACATCAAAACTTACTGTGTAAGTATATATGAAGTTTTATTATAAGGAATATTAATATGGTACCATGAGTTGTAATTTAAGGACTAAGAATTTAAACGTTCTGGCCTATGATTACGTCCAAACCATATTAGATGAAAATGCTTCATATGCATTCTAAACTACCTTCGGTCAGATTTTTTTTTTTTTTTCCCTGTGAATGTTGATGCAAATTCCTTGAATGGATGTTGTATGATGCAGCCTCTGAATTGAACAGAAAGTAGTAAAGGGTAAAGGAAAGAAAACGGTAAGAACCGGTTCACCTTTTCGCCGAAATTCGTCGTGTAGAACACAGCGTTGCTTCCGGGGATCACAGGCAGCTTGACCCCGAGAGGTAGGTCCAGTAGCTGAGCCGGCCCCACCCCGACGAAGCGGGTTTTGTGCACGCCCTGTCAGACACAGTGGAGAGTTTTGTCTTTCCTCGTAGGCAGTATTCGTTTCGTTTAGACCACTCTACTTCCACTCCGACCAAAGACGCGGAAGAATCACACGGTCAGGCAGGGTTCAGGGCCTCCGGAAGTCCTCCCGCTTCCCGGGTCACCAGCTCCCCCGGCGTCCCGCGCCTGCCGGTTGCGGCCGGTACCGTGCGAGCCCCGCCGCCGTCCCCGCCCCCGGGCGCCGCTAGAGGGCGGCTTTCTGAAGCGGGCCTTGGGGGCCTCGCGAGCCTTGCTGCAGTGGCGCTCCCTGCCCCACTCCCTGCTCCGCTCCCCACCATGCCTGCGGCCGCCAGAGGAAAACGCCGCCCGGCTTGCGGGCACTCACGTCTCCGCACTGCTGCGTGTCCGCGGCCAGGACGCTGGCCACCGTCTTGGTGAAGGCGGCGTGGGCAGGCTTGGAGCAGGCGCCGAGGTACAGCTCCATGGTCGGCACGGGCCCCTCCGCTCTCCTCACGACCGCGGCCTCTACCCCCAGCGTTCCAGACTCCGAACGCTAGCGGCCCCCGAAGGGCGGTGGCCTCCTGAGGGGGAGGGGCGTGGCCTCCTGAGGGGGAGGGGCGTGGCCTCCTGAGGGGGAGGGCCGTGGCTCGCGCTGGGCCAGCGATCACCCGCAGAGTTGGAGAAATCGGTCCTAGAGGCCTGATCTGAAAGGACCGCAGTGGAAACTTCTTCCCTCTCTGAAACCATCACCCCTCAGCCAATCCTAACGAAAACGTACAAGCTATTTTGGTCGGTAGCTGACTAATTTCTCCTGGCCTCCACGGAGCCCTGTTCGGTTCTATAAAAATTCCTGAGTGATTGTTTTTGCCCATTCTACATCTTCCCTCGGAGAGGCCACACCCCATGCCCAGGCTCCCACAACTTCTTCCCACGCCAGGTCCGCAAGGCAGACGGTTTGGCTTCCTAAGGGGCTCATTGCCTTGCTCCTGCCTCCTCTGTCCCCTAGGCTTCCTTCTCCTTTCCAGCGCTCTTTACTGTTCTCCCACTGCCTCCTCTCTGCTCCTGCTGCTCGATCCTATTTCCCTCTGTCTCCCCAACCCTCCAGCTGAAATGCATAAAGTGCTTGACCCTTTTGGGCCAGTCAGTGAGCTAGGCACTGGATAGGACACAGCCGTGAGGGAAATATGGCCCCGGCCTGTAAAAAGCGAACTAGACCCACTAGGTGTTTGGACTAACTTCATGTATTCTTTCTGTGAATGCCTGGTCCTAGAGGCCTGATCTGAGAGGACCACAGTTGAAACTTCATCTTTATTTCTGGCACCACTAGTAATAACACTATTTCTTGAGAATGTACTAACCTCCAGATACTATGCTAAACACCCTTTAAACATTTATTTATTGCAATAGTCTTATCAATGATTACCCTTGATTTTTCAAAGATTGAGGAAGAATAACAATTGCTATTAAATGGTGGTCCTTGAGGCTATTTTTTTAATCAGTACACTCTGCTCTGTTTTAATTCCACACATGTGCTTAATACTCTTAAATTTGAAATCTAAGCTTGGGATATAATCTATTCCCAGCTTCCATATGGATGTCCCACAAACTCAAATTGAATCTACTCAAATCTCAACACACACACACCCTTCATCAAAACAGGAAAAAACAAAGGCTTCTTCCTGCATTTCCCATCTCATTGACAATACCACCATCTACCCAAGCTAGAAACTGAGGAATGCTTCTAGATACTTCTTTTTCCTCTTATCTCTCATGTTCCGTTGGTCCCTAAGTCCCAGTAATCTTATCACTAAAATTAATTGGTCCCATTCTACCTATTCCTACTCTATTCCCCTGGTTAAGCAGCTAATCGTATTTTGTTTGTTTGCACCATTGCTACAGGCTTATAACATCTCCCTTCCATCATCTACCCTAACGATCCATCTTTTATCAATTTGATCTTTGGTGTCAAACTATTTTCTTTTTCTTCCTCCTTTTAAACTCCCAACTGCCCCCAGTGCAAAGTGTGTAATAGCCTCTGTTACTTGATTTCTGAATTAGTTTCTTATTGCTAACAAATTATCACAAATGTAGCGACTTACCATAAATTACCACAAATATATTATCTTAACAGTGATGGAGGTTAGTAGCCGAAAGAGAATCTCAGTGAGCTGAAAGCAGTGTATGGAAAGTGCTGTATTCTGTCTGTAAGCTCTGGGTCACAACCTATGTTCTTGCCCTTTCCAGTTTCTAGAAGTTCCCTCTTCCTCACACTTTAAATTTAGTAATGTGGCATCTTCGAATCTCTCTGACTCAGGCCTCTTCCTCCTTCCCTTCTACAATTAAAGAATATTTGTGATTACATTGGGTCGATCTAGGTTATCCAAACTAATTTATCCATCTTAAGATCAGCTGATTAGCAACCTTAATTCCATCAGCAATCTTAATTCCTCCTTGCTATGAAATATTCACATACTCATAAGTCTTGGAAACCAGGATATAGACGTCCTTGGGGTACTATTATACTGCTTCTCACAGCCCCTTTTTTTCCATTTCTGAGACATAACTCCCCAATACCACCTCTCAGAATTGAACCTCAAATGACACATAACTGTTTGTGGTTGGCTCTCTATGTGGGGCCTGCTTATTCATGCATGATTCTGGGTCTCTGTTTATGCTGCCCCTTCTGCTTGACAGCCCCTTGCACTTCACTGCTTGGCTAATTTTAATCAGCCTTTAAAACAGCTCAAGTGTTATAAGCTTTTGACAAATTCTCTCCCTCTGTGCTTCCCTCCATCTTAACATTGTCACATTACAGTAAGAATATCTGTTTACTTTTCCGCCTCTCTCTACTAGAATGTAAATTCCTTTAGTGCAAGGGTTGGCTTGTATGCATAGCACCTAGCATAGTGCTGAGCAAGCACTTAGTGAGCGCTAAGTTAAATTTTGTTTCCTGACTCAGTCAGACATGAATGAGGACCCACTAAAAAATTTTAAGCAAATTCTTATTCTAGAAGAACACTCTGGCAACAATTTGGAAGGCAGATTTGTGGGGATGAGAGTAAAGGTCTGGGAGACTTCATGATTTTTAGACATGCAGAGAGTGAATTTGAGAAACATTTAAGAAGACAACTTTCAAAACTTTGAGCTCTTCCTTATCTTGCCTACTTTTAAAAGAACAGAGTTGGAGGGAATCATTGCTGTGGGAACCTGACAATGGTGGATGACAAGCTTGAATTTCCAGAGAAAACAGGTAAGCCAGAAAAATGAATTCTGGAAAAAAAAAAAAAAAGAAAAATCCATATCAAATAGGTGAGTTCCTTTTATAAAGAAAGCATATGGAAAAGAAAAAGTCTACGGTGTAGATAACATATCTATGATATTTATATGTAAAGCAGAATTTGTTATATTCTTGGAAAAGTTAGAAGAATATGTGTCTGGGGTTTTATGAACATTGGGGTCTTTTCAGAGACTTTACTGTATGTCTATATAATAATTTCCCAAATTTAGTGACTTTAAACAATTATTTATTATTTCTCACAGTTCTCTGGGTTCCTTGGTATTGTTTCGGTTTGCTCTTGCTTAAGTAGGGCTGGATCATCTAGGATGGCTTCACTCACGTCTGGTCTCTCAAAACAACAACAACAAAATCAATGGAATGATTGAGATGCAGGACCACCATCTACCTGTGTTTATTCTCCAGAAGATTAGGCAATATGGTTTTACGTTTTAGTCTCAAGACTCCCAGCATCAAGAGGGAGTAAATATTAATGTGCTTATGTGCTTCTCAAGTATTTGGTATCATAACATTTGCTATTGTCTAACGTGGAAGGAAACTACATAAGGGTATGTGTACACTAAGGCTCCCATTCATAGGGCTCATTGCCTCAAAAATCTACCAAAGATCACTTTCTGATCTCAATGATTCACAATGCTCCCATATTCAAAACACTTAGCTCTCCTAAGAGAACCTAAAAGCCTCATTCAGTCATGTGATTAGGCTTAAAATGTAGTGTTTTATAATCTACAATTATGTCCATGGACAGCTAATTGGATACTGCCTGTATGAATTCAAAGACCTATGAACTAAAAAACTAAAAAGTTGGGTTAATAATCTATAGGTGAAAAATCAATTTCTCCAAAACTTTAGGATTAAAACAACATTAATTGCTTATTGTATCTAGTGGTTTCTCATTGGGTTTGGAGATTCAGATGAGGCATAAAGGAGACAGTTGGTATCTGTTCTATAATATTAGGAACTTCAGCTGGCCAACTCGAAGACTAATAGCTGGAATCAGCTTCTTCTAAAGTTATTAGGAGAAAATTTGCTCCTTTGAGGTCTTACTTTTGAGATCTGTTAGAGAAGACCAGAAGAGACCTCAGTATAGGATTAATTATTGATTTATTCTGCACACCCAATGACTCATCTATCAGAATTTTTTCCAGCTTAGCTGCTGGGAACACATAATGTTTACAGTTGTTTGTGAAAGCCCAGCACTATCCCTTTTGAGTGATTTTTTCCATGGCATATGGTAGTTTTCTCAGAGTTCTGACAAATAGGCAGGAAATACTCAAAGATAGTTCTCTACACATCCTGAGGGTTCTTAAGTTCATGTTCTATGCAGCTCTCCTCTCTCTACTTTTCTTTCCCATACACTAGCCACATCTGCCTTTCTGGGCTCTGAGTTCTGTTTCCTGAACTCAGGGAGTCAGATGAGCTCCATCTGGATCCTCCCTCCCTGTGCTGTGGTTTGAAAGTTCTTTCAAGTTTTATCAGTATGCCTTGCCTGTTTTGTTTATTGTTTTACAGAGATCATCGACCCTTCCAACTGTCTTGAAAATTTTTGCTTCATATATTTTGTTTGTTTTTTACGTGTTTCAGGGCATGTCTTCTCCCTGTTACCCTGTCTTGAGAGGAAATAAAACTCAGTTTTACTTGTGATAATCCTTGTAGAGTTTTTAATTCTTAAGCTAACAATCACTTTATTTGGAGAACATTCCACATATATAAATGTTGGTAGGTGTTCAATCTCACTTGTTGCCATATTTTCATTTGTCATGTCATGGAACATGGTCAAGGGCATGTGACTTTGTATTCTAAAAAGGAATTAATTCAAAGTTTCTTGTACAGTTAAGGACCATGAAGTCAGGCTTAATGTCTGCACAATGTCACAGCACAAGCCACAACATTTTAATCCAACTACATCTGTGGTTTGATACTGTGTTTACTCTCCTTGTTTCTGTTCCATTTTCCTCAACTTGGATATCAAACCTTCTTATATAGTCTCTGAGCTTTCCCAGATCTTTTCTGTCTAGGTTAGCCAGGATTGTTTCCTATTATTTACAATCCAAAGTCCTGGCTTATATATAATAACCAATTTACTCCCAGCTTTGCTTCATTTTTGTTTACTATTTCTTAACGTAACTATATAAGCAGAAGATTTAAATGTTTGAGTTTTACCACCTCCTATGTCTATTCTCAATATT